TGTGTGAAACCAATCATTTCCTCCATGGCCCAAGGCGTAATCATGTTGGCCGGATCATCAATGCCTCCTCATGATCATCATCCTCCTCATGATCATCATCAATGCCTCCTCATGATCACCATAAGTCACTTCCAAGTCCTCTTCATCAACTGGCTTATTGTAGATGAGATCACCTTCAAAACAATGCTTGTTGTCCTCATCATAAAACTCCTCAGAAAGGTCAACAAACTTGCGATTTGGGCGCTGTGATGAGACAAGACATGCCCAATCCCCGAACACTTGTAGCACTTGATGTTCCTATTGGGGCCCCTCTCAGGTCTCCCAACTCCTGGGGTCCAAGGAACCTTGTTGGTGGGTTGTTCCTACAATGCGAGATGTCATCTTGAATTGATTGGCGCAGTCCATTCATAAACCTAGCAATAGACTGCTCCTCCCACTCAATCACATCACAACGAGCAATCAAAAGGTGAAACTCATATGTGCATTCATCCACCGACCTATATCCTTGGCGCAACACATGTATCTCTGATATAAAGATTGTAAAATAATTTTCAGGTAGGTACTTTTTCTTTTTAATTTCTTTTTCATCTACTCCCGAGCATTAACTTTGGGCTTTCCCATTTTCTCTCGCCTTGCCCTCACTTGTTCCCTCTATACCAAAGCACCTTTCTTCAATTTAATGGCAATAATCTTAGCCTTTTTATTCTATGGCACATCCTTGTAATCAAATGCTCTCTCTATTGTGTTAGCTAGTCTATAAAGCCGTCGGGCTGTGACTTTCCTTCAAAATCAGGAATATCGACTTGTAGATCTATGGATTTCGAGTACCACCCATACCTCCGATCATATGCCCTTCACTCAACTCATCCTACAGAGCACGATAGTGAAAAGGATTGTACTTAACATCACCATGGACGGACAACCCACCATTGATGCCCGCAAACCGCCTTGCACGTTCTTGAACTTGTTGTCTCATAATACTCTATTCTCCTGATCCCGCACGTCACAAGGTGGATCCATATGAATACCCTTACCTCGACCTCTTCTTGCTGCCATAGGTTCACCGAAATTACAATCCCTAGGCAGAGAACCAACAAAACTAAGCCAAAAACAGCAAACTCTAGGCTGATTTGGCAAATTTTAGCCTGAAATCAGTAAAATCTTGGTGGTAAATTCTAAACTTTATTTTTGAATAAAACCTTGGCTCTGATACTAATTTGATTCAGGAACATAGAGAAACGAAACAAAAAAATTCAAGAAACCATCAAAACATGCCACATTTGAGTGGATCTGGCTTTCTTTGCATAAAAAAGTGACCCCAAAACCGTACATAGGGCTTGCTGGCACTATTCACAGTTTGTTTTTACTGTTCACGCCCCAAAAAGTGTTAGAAATCCTAACAATCCAGGTCCTTTTATTACATGATGATTAAAAAAAGATCAAAACTACCCTTCACTTAAATGAAAATGTAAAAGATACCTAAACAGCCCATAACTTTAATTAAAATACTAGAAATAACTAGAAAACTATAAAAAAAGCAATAAACTAAAAAGGACAAAGTTTCTATGCGGCCAGCCCGTATATTGTAGAAATGCGGGCTTGGCAATAAATATATTTTTTAAACATAATTTGATCCTAATTTTTAGAGAATATATAATCTTAAACATGGAGATCATGAATATAAAAAAGGAAAACTAGAAATAATAATTATATTACAAAAATATTTGGACCATTAGTTCCACTTGTTTCTAGATGGACCACCTATTTGCATCCATCTTTAAGATGGATGCTTTATACTCTGGACCGCATATTGTAGAAATGTGGTCCAGCCCGCATGAAACAATTTTCCAACTAAAAATAATTCCTTCAAAACGTTGGCCTTCTCTTCATGGATCTCCTTGTGACCTTGGGATGTGGATCATCATAAAGGGGGTCATCAAAGGATGGATTGGGTGGGTCAAAAGGCTCATTAAAACTTTCTTGACTAGTCGAAGGACTGCCCGATGCATCAAGAGTTGGTCTTGCCATAGCACAATACCACTACGTTAGGCATGTACAAGCATCCAAGGTTCTGAGCATCACAAGACTAAAACTCGTACGCTATTTGGTTTCAAGGATGCGCTTGAATGGTTACGGTGCTATTTCTCACGTTCAATTACTATTGCTGAATTCCTAGAAAACTTCAAGCAATTAGAGTCCAACAAAATGCATGCAAGCATTGCAAAAGTTGTGTCTATGTAGTCCAAATTCCCTACTATTAAATATAATGTGATGTTCCTAGAACATCAAATTACTTTTCATATGTATCAGCATATATAAAAACATTACTGTAACATAAATTATAAAGTCAACAAAGTAATCTTAACATGGTTATGCATATCCAAGCAACAACACAATATCATGATTTATCGATCATAATATGCCATGCCTAGATATAGGGAAGATTTATTTTGTCCTTGAATAAATCTCCTCTTAATTCTCTTTGTGTAAACATGGAACTTTGTAGGACAATCGTAGTGTAGCTCATAGACCTGCATCTCTCTTTGAGATTGACACCTCTAATCCATCTCCTCTCATATTAAGCTTTATTTTATTTTTTTTCCCCTAGTAAATGACGAAACTCCTGACTCTTAAAGCTGAGGTGGCAACTCCCCACAACATCACCTCTGATCCAAAATCCTCCCAATCACAAACCTCTCCCTCAAAGTACGATCACCCGAAACATTTGGGGCTAAATGAACATAAAACAAAACTAAAGTTAGGAAATTCATCCTTAAACAGAAACCTCTCTTCCAAGTACTAAACAAAATAAGAGATATCTTAGCTCTAAGAACTTCATAAAGACCTTCAATAACCTGAATGTTCCCTACGATGCAGTGGGAAACGACGTTAAAATTGAGGGTGCCCAAGTTTGGGAGCTTACGAAAAAGGACCTAAACTTACAAGTATTCATTTCATCACCCCAAGCAATACACATATATTGTACAAACCCTCAACTCCATGCCTTCGATAACCCCAAAAACTCATAGGGATCTTTGGTCAGAACTCCCTAATCCCACTCCTAATATTAATACAAACCATGGCTAGCAGCGGGCAATTTTAATGCCCCTATCTTTGAGGATGAGAAATTGGGGGGTGCGGGGCAGCCTATCCCTAGAAAGTGCAGAATCCATCTTCAGTCTCTTAGATTTAGAGAAGTACTCCAAAGAATATTCATGGAGAAATAATCAAGTATGAAGGGCGCCCATTCATGAATAATTAATCTTGGTCTCAAGCAGATGACTCAAATGTTTCCATGATTCTCAAATTCCTACCCTTCCTAGACCAAATCTGGCTCACATCCCTGTCTCTGATCACAACTCTATCCAACTAAAAATCGAACAATTGAGTGGGGTCCAAAATCTTTCAGATTTTTCAACATATTGATTGCCCACAAAGACAGTTATGAAATTATAAAAAAATGTTGAGGTAAAAAATTTAAGAGTTGTGTTATATTTAGTGCCCAAACAGAACTTAAAAACACTAGAAAATCCTTTCAAAAGTTGAACTTTGAGACCACCAATTATGTTCAATACGTAGTAAGGAACGTAGAGAACAAATTAGATCAACTTGAGTCTCAACCGTTAAACCTTGAACATCGAAGATGAGGAAAGATAACTTAGAAGCAAGCATTCCAAAGCACCCACTAATAAGGTTTCCCTTTGGTATCAACAATAGGCAAAATTGGCTTACTCATGGTGACTCCTGCACAAAATTCTAATTCTCTACAACCATGACTAGGAGGTATTGTCCCACTATCCTAAAACCTAAGAAGCAAGATGGCTAAGTTACCGAGAATAAAGAGGAAATTGTAAAAAAGGCCATTGCTTTCTTCAGTAACATTCTGGGCGCTGAGCAATCTATTTCCATGTTATGTCAAATCCCTTTTAATCCAAAATCTGAAGAAAACTTTCACCTTTAAAGGGAGGTGACTTCCAAGGAAATCACCAAAACCCTCATGAGTCATAGCCTAAAAAATTCCCCTGGTCATGATGGTTTCTCACCCAAATTATTCCAAATTTCTGGCCCATCATTGGCCCTAAAATATCCAATGCAATCAAAGACACCTTTAAGAGACAGTCCATCATGCAAAACCTTGACAAACCTTCATCAACCTTATCCCAAGAAAAAAGGTCTTCCCTCCATGACCGATTTGAGATCTTTCAGCCTCCGCAATGTCATATACAAGGCGACTAGCAAATTATCGCCAATAGGTAGAAATTAGTTTTCAACCACATCATTAGCCTTAATCAAGATGTTTTCCTCCAAAAAAGGGACCATATCTAAGCAAAGTCATAATTGCTTGTGAAACCAGCCATGGCAAGGCAATAAACAAAAGAGAGAGCTCCTGCCTTAAAATTGACCTACATAAGGCCTTTGATTTATTGATAATTTCACATAACTTCAATTGGATTAAAATGTGTATCACCATTCCCAAGTACAACATTGTACTCAATGTGCCACTTTCGGTTCTTTTAAAGGTAAAAATGGGTTAAGACAAAGAGACCCACTCTCCCCATACCATCACCACTATATCATAATTATTATATTACCATCTCATTGAAACCATATGGTGTTTTCTGTTCTCCATTCATTTTCAAAAACCCAATACAATACCCGTCTCTTCTTTCCCAGTGAACATTCACAAGACAGCCCAAGGCAAAAAAACAGTTTGGCACATTTACTCAGGTAATTAAGATAATCACTTTGTTACACATCATGTTCTCAATATTATCATGTGCAATATGGAAGGAATCCCACATTGTACTGTGATTGTTCAAATTGACATTTTTTTGCTTCCTCTTAAGAATCAAGGTCCCATGTGCGATTAACCCTCAAAATTCCAATATATAACCCAGCAAACTGTTTGGAACCATCCATGCAAAATAGTGAACACTTTAATTGACTTTTTCAATTCAGAATTTCAGAGTATAGATGAAGAGTAAAAGCCAGACAATTACCTCTGTGATTGGAGCTTCTGAAGGATAAACTTGCGTTGCAGATAGGCATGATCCACATCAATGGGTTCCCTCAGTGAGGTTGTTAACCGAGGTAACTGAATCAACATTTTTTTTTAACTACTGGCTCTTCAATTGCAGTCAATGACCCGTTGATGAAGTCATGATAACTTTTTTCAGGCTACTGAAACTTAAATCCTGGTCAATTTCAATTCATTAAAATTAGTAAATTCTATTCAGTTTAAATTGAAAGTAAATTATGTTCAATTTAAATTGATAATAAATCATGCTCAACTGCACAGTTTCGAAATCGCAACCAAACTAGAGAAGTAAAATAATGAAAGCCAGATTCTGAAAAATCTCATACTGTATTTTAAGTTTGGACCTCAAAAACGGAGAGAATCAGTTTGCAATTAATTTGGCCTAAAAGAGATGAACCACCTCCACCAAAACCACAAAAATCAACAGCTGAAACTCATAATCCCCAATAAAATTTCAAATAACTTAATCAACCAAAAAATCAGCAAACAAACGGTTTATCTTAAATCCAATCCCTCTCCAACCTAAAACTGCATCAAAATCAGAGAAAACAGCAACTGCAACTCCAACAAACCCCTAAAGTTATCATCTCTCTCGTAAAATCTAATTTGGTCATGAGTTAATTTACCATGATATTGTTGCACGCAGGAACTGAACTTAGGAAGCCAAACGAATGAAAAACACTCTAGAATTCCTGGTTGGAGATAGAAAAACCCTAGACGATCAAGAGAGAGAGACGGAGCCCTAAAACAGTGGAGCCAAATCGGCATGCAAAATATGATGAAAACAAAAAGAAACATAAAAATATGGCGGTTGGCTTAATATTGTTTATGGCCCTGTTGGTAAGGTTGCCAATGGACTGGGTCTGTTCAGACACTATGCTGGACCAAAACTGTGCATTGGGTCTATGCCGTACAAAGCGCGAAAATCCAATTTTCAGGTCTATACTCCAAGTTCAAGGGTCCCATTTAGTGGCCCCAAACCGGGCCGAGCGCAAAACCCGTTGGCAGCCTTATGTCTTTCTTTTTTATTTTTCTTTTACAAAAATACATGTATATTTGTTATAATTTTAGTTATTACAGCTCTATCGAATAGTTTTCGTTATTACCGCTGTGTCTGTTTTTTATGTCATTTTTTTGTTATTGAAGAACCGAATTCAAAGTGTTTTCGGTTAAATTTAAAATTTATAGTTGTTAAAAAACCAAAAATTTAAATTTTATTGCCTTCGAGAACCGAAAAATATTTTATCTCTTGTGGTGTATTTTCTCTACGTCTCTGATGTCATAGTTATTTGATAAAATCAAATCAAAGGGGAGCAACTAGTTTGAGTTGTTGGGTTTATGTGGCCTTATGAGTGTGTATTGAAATGCTTTTATTATAGTGAAACATAAATTCAGTGAGAGTGTGGACCCTCGAGGATCATACTAAACGAATAATGTTTGTTTATATCAGACTGTGCTTATCGATCTAGGGCAGTCGGTTGGAAAAACCAAAGTACCTGGGCATAAAGAATTAACCGATGAGGGTTTTGGGTTAGCCCTTGATGAAGTCGAAGCTTATGCCTAGATGAGAGAGTTAAGGGACTATGTGACCCTTATGTGTAATGGTAGGGCTACTGATACAGGGGCCAAAACCTCATACATATTCCATCACACAGCATGCATATCGATAGATCATTTGGGAAAGCCAGATATCCACTTTTTGGTGAAACGTATGTATGTGCGAGAGATACCCATATGCGTCATAGAGCTGTGGTCACATCAGGGCGTCGTGACCTTGACTCGTCTTTAAGGGAAAACCTGTAATCCACAAGGGAGGACCTGTAATTCACAGACTGAGATTACAACCTCTTGATTTATCGACTTAACTTTGATGACCCGCTAATGAACCCCTGCTTGGACTGTGGGTCATGGGAAATACTGGGTCAGTTCGATAAAGCTAGTGTGGTTTGTAGTCCACAGTTAAAGACGGAGTACCCCATTAACTGTGTGGAGTATCCCATTATTACATATTGAATTCCTAAAATCATATGGATCATTTTCCCATCATATTAATTTAATTGTGTTTATTTTATTATTGAAATTATTTTAGTTTTATTGTTTGAATTTTTATGAATCTCTCAATATTTTAATTATGATTTTTTAACTTATAAAAGTACAATTATTGATTTTACAAATTTATAAAAATTCAAATATATATTAATTTATTTTATTTAATTTTAAATTTTTTTATAAAATTATATGGGGGGCCAAAGTGCACATGGCCCCATCACGTGGCATGTGGGTGGGGGCCCACATGTGCCACAAAGGGGTGGCACGCCCCACCCCTTGGATTCTCTTGTTGCTTTGTGTTCAAGTTTGTTAAATATACTAACTTTGTTTTGTGGCATGTGGTCAAATCTTGAAAGGAAAATATTGACCTTTTTTTTTTGGTAGTATTTATTTATTTGATAATATTTGACATATCCTTATGAAATATGTGACATGGATCATGCAATTTTATGGAATGCATGATATTTATTTTATTTAAATATATTGATGGGAAAATAGTTTAAAAAAGGGGGATAATGGTTCAAGAACCTTCCATAATGTTGATAGCCCATCTATAGAATGGATGGCTCAGATCTCTCACCCCACAAGTCACCTTGATCAGTAGTGTAGATTCAATCTCATGAAAGAGGTAAATTATGAGAAAACCCTAAGAAACCCTAAACCTAAATATCTACTGTAAATAGGGGTGTTCTCCCCCCAATCTCTACACACCTCTCTTTCTCTACTATCTCTCTCCTAAAAAGACCTTAGGGGGCACGCCCCAACATAGATACTCTCTCTCTCTCTCATAATCTAATCTAAAGTTGGGAAAATTAAGGTTTTAGCCTAATTATTTTGGAGTTAAGGTTTTGTAGAGATTTTAAGGGGTGGTTACCTAGTTTGACCGAAATCAGCTATCCCGGTTCGAGATTGAAGCTAGACCACAGATCCCGCGCCATTGGATGTGGTGACTCGGTGTGGGGTGTAAAAAGTCTGGTTGAGGTAATCTCCGGCACCTTTTCTATTATTTGTTTGTTATTTTATTTTATTTTCTCAAGCACAGTATTAGGTTGTATGAATGACATCAAGTAGTTGAGATTTATTTTATTGATGTGTTATTTATTTTTTGAATTTCTATTGTTTGTAATAAGACCATATGTGAGTGATCTTATTTCCAAAATTATAAGGGTTGATTATTATTTTTAAGTAAAAAAAAATGTATTTCCCCTACAAAATATCATATAGGTATTTCTTTCATGAGCCCCTAAATTTAGGAAAAATCTTAGGGATTATGATATTAGAAGATTAGGAGAGATCTTGTGCCGTATTCTCTCTCTACCTCTTTGAAGTCATGGTCATCCCATAAAATCAAATCAAGGGAACCGTTAGTTTGAGCCCATGAAATTAGGAAAAATCTCAAGGATTATGAACTTACCCAAAAAAAAAACCCTCGGTGAAGGAGAGAGAGGATATGCAGACCCACAAGAGAGAACAAAAATTAATGTTATTCAAAAACCGGAAATTTGCTCGTTTTTTGTTGCTGAACAACTGAAAATACTTTGAATTCGGTTGTTCAACAACCAAAAAATGATAAAGTTATCTTTTTTTAAAATTTCCGTTTTGACATGAAAAAGATAGACACGGTAGTAATAACAAAAACCATTCGGTAGAGCCATAATAACGAAAACTATAATAGATATGTATGTAATTGTCCCCTTTTTTTCAGTTGTTTTCCTAGAGTAATCGTTTGTTTTCCTAGAGTAATCGTCAAAAAGCGGTTGATAGTTGAGAATTACTGTTTGGTAAGTTGTATGTGAAAAATGGAGAAATCTCGAGCTAAGCTTGGGCAAATAGAGATTAAGAGGGGAGAAAAATCATGAGGTTAGAGAAATAAAAATAGGACAAAGGAGGTCTCACATTTCACCCCTTTTTTTGAGAAATATTGAGATGGTCTGCAGTTTTCCCAAAAATTGGGGGAAAACATGGAAAAGCATAGAAATGCTGGGCTCTGTTGTTACCCATTCTCAAGCAGGGGAATTGCGATAACTAAAAACTAGGTCCTTTATTTATTGTTTTCTCAATTACCAATCAAGGCCTAAGTTGAGGGAAATTTATCATTTTCACGAAATGCGTCGGGATACTATTTAATAATGAAAAATATATAATAAAATTATATTATTTATTTTTTAGCACAAGGATGTTACAATTATTATTAACAATTAGATGTGAAATCAGGCAGTTGAGCGTGTATGATTGATTGAGCATAAGGATAAAAATAAACTTTCTCAAATTATGTGATACACATCTTGTCATCTGTTTTCTCATATGATGGATGAAAATGAATTGTAACATATTTGTATGAAAAATAACTGGGCTTATGGTATGTATTTCTGTAAATTTAGCATTTTACTATTTAATTTCAAAATTCTATCAAAATTCGTGAGTTGGTACAGTTAAAAATGGTAAAATATTGAAAGAAGTGCTACTATTGATTTCTGATCATTCAATCTCAATCCAATATCCATTTATATGGGAGTGCTTTTGCATTGTTATTTCCACTTGAAAATGCTGTGTCTTAGGTTTTTACAGCCTTTTTTTAATGAATTTTTGTATGAAATACTTTGTCTTAGGTTTTTACAACTTTTTTCCATGGATTTTTGTATGCTATTTTTTGTGGCCTCTCTGTCCTCCAAGCAATAATTTTCTGTTTTTGAACTTTTTTTTTTTTTTAGTGATTGAATGAACTTTGAAGTTGATATTATTACTTTATTAGGGATAATTCTTTTTAAGCTTTTATGTAATTATTATGCTGATTTTCGAAATAGTAAAAACCCACCATGAAAGAGATTTGAAAATTTGAATCTATTGAAAGATACAGTAAATCATAGGCTCACATTTTGCTCATTTTGGGGCAGTTTGGTTGGTGTCCTCACCAGTCCCTAACAACACTGGGTTAACTATTGTTTTCCCTAGTACGAAGGGCGTCTGAAACATATTTGAATGTTGAAATCTACAGCCTTAAACGTGTTATGGACTTCCCATCCCATGATAAATTTGAAAAGCCTGACTTTTCGAAAATGTGACACTTTGGGTATTGTAAGCATGTTGGTTAGTGTTGCACTGTATATCTGTAAGTGTTGGAACATGTATTTATGTTTCAGGCTTCAGTATGTATATATTTATAATAATAATATTATAATGCTATCAAATAGATATGTTTTGAATATGGGGTGATTTTCGCACTCATGATTCCAATAGTATTTTGGTTATTTAAACTTTGTTATGTATTTGTCTTTGTGCATAGACATATATATGCAATACTAATATACTTGCCATCCTAATTATCATTTTCTACCAGCTCTTTTATGTATTTTTCCATAGCAATAGTGCTAGATTTCCATCTGGCAACATTTGATCAAAAAGCCCTAAAGGTGTGATTTCCATGGTCTTTCAGGGTCAAGTCTTGACAAAGTTCCACACTTAGAATGCGGATGAATGCATAGATAATCCACTTAGGTTTTTTATGTATTTGGAAATCATATGTATATCTGGTCTATACATGTCTTGATACATGTGAACCTTTTCTCCTCAAAGTTTAGGTTTTTTCCTTAATATTGAAAGATCAAATGTATTGGTGGAGATTATGCTTATTATACGAATAATTGTTGTGATACTATGAGAAGTTCAACTCTGCCATGATAATAACTTGGGGCTCAAAATATGGGTCAATTTGAGAAACTATCAGGTTTAGTAGTGTATTTCTGTCAAAACCAAGATCTTTTGTTTGAAAGATCATTTTCACTAATTATATTTGTGTGTGCCCCCTTAATATTGTGTATGCTAAGATTGGCAATATTTGTGGTGTAACCTGCTACTGCTAAAA